TGGACATTTTTGAAAATGCCCCTTGAATATTTCACACTAAAAAGTGACATTTTTTAGCACCATTAATAAAAGTGACAAATTTTGATACACTTTTTAAATTTAGTGACATTTATGAATATTTTCTTAATATAAATTTATTATTTTAACATTTTAAAATTGGTCAAGATTAGCCAAAATTTTATTTTTCTGTTCAGGTCAATTAGACCAAAACTGCCCATTTGTCCTTCTGCTACAATTAGATTAAGGCACCGTAGACGACATGAATAAAAAGTTCGGATAAAGTCTACAAAATAATGAAAGATTTGGAACTGCATTTGCAATTATCCCTAAAATAAATTGACAAAAAATGGAGAGGTTTCCTTTATGAATAAACGGTTGCTTCTCAAGTGGCCTTCATTTGCACGAGTTTTGTATCCATTTTTGGTTGGGCGCTAAGATAAAAAAACCAAGAGCATAGGGTACCTTCCAACGAAAGCAAAGCAAAAAATAAATTAGAATAAATAGCCAACATGAATGCTTGGTAGGATCTTCGTACATGGTGAATAATCAAATTTCAATTGAAATGAAATCTTTAGGATAAATAAATGCAATTTATGAGGAATCAAGGGACTTCAATTCAAATTCTAGATTTTCGAATTGAAAGAGATCAATAATTCTCACTATTTCTTATATTCATGGAACCAATATGCCTCTTAATTTCTTTTCTTTTTTATCTCCAATATAATACCCAAAACCAAACCAAACTAAACTAATTTTTTTGGTCCAAATCCTATGAAGCAATTGCCTAACTGGATCTCAAGCTCATATAGTTTAGTTATATCAATTCTACTCTTGAAAATGAGAGAGTAAAGAATTCCAATAGGGAAAAGAGTATAATTTGGATTAGGGTGAAAGTAATTTTTAAAAAAAATTATGTGAAATTCTGTGGGATCAATTGACCCCACACGAGTCCATGTAGATTCGCTTACTACGTCTTGAGAATTTACAGCAAAAGAAATAAAATTTAACCGAACTTTTTAGTCAAACCTTCATATAACCAATATAACTAGGCCGATTGTGTAGAGATATAATGAAAAAGATGAAAATTACATACAACCAGAGTTTCAAACTTCTCAATCCAAAATTAAGATTTTCGAGTTTTTTATGGTAGTTGGTATCTTGTAAATGGTGGTAGTGGTTGTGTAGATAGTGGTGGTAATGGCCATTGTGGTGTACTTACTGGTTGTCGTGGTCACAGTGGTGCACGCGATGGTGTTAGCGGTGGTGGTGCAACCCAAGTCATGGGTTGGTGGTGTTGTGGCGATGGGTATGGTTTTTCGATATGCTTCCATCGTGGTGGTTTTCATCATTGTTTCGGTGGTCTCGAGATTTCTTTTGACCAAATAAAAATCAAAATCAAAACAAGGAATATCCTAAAGGTGT